TCACATGGTTGTCCTTTGTCTAGTGTTCTACCTATTCTATTCAGGATGACTCAAGTGAACAACTTGTAGACGACGGACAACAGGCAGATCAGGCGATAGTTGCCAATGTCATGGATGTCTCCCTTCTTGTACAATAAAATGGTCCTGCTGGTTTTCCATTGGGAGGGAACCTTGCATTCAGACAGGTAGTTTGTGAAGAGCCAAACCAGTGTATTGACGAGTGCTGGCAGCGGATTCTTCAGGTGTTCAGGTCTAACCTCGTCTGGACCGGGTGCTGTATGCTTCTTTACCAACAAAATGGCATGTCAGATTTCGGAGGGGGAACATTGAGAATGACATTCATCCTGCAGAATTTGGTATTTAGGCAGGTAGATGTGGCTATCGAAGAGATCCGAGTAGAAATCGTGGATAATCTTCTCCATTGCCCTTCTGGAAGATGTGATAGATCCATCAGGATGTCGGAGGGCAGTCATCTTGGTCTTGTAGTTGGCTAAGGACAGGTGGGCATTGCGAATACTTTTCCCAGCTTCTGCTGCATCAGCCAACACTGCTGCTTTTCTCTCTTTGCGGTCTTCCTTTATCGCTTCTCTACACAGTTTTGCGAGCTCGGATGTTAGCTTGTGATTGCCCGAGGTTCGCACCAAACCACGTTGGCGAATGAGCTCGAGAGTTTCCGAGGACAGGCATCTATTTGTGGCTTTCCCACTCTCGGTATTCTTTGCGCAGTCATGGAGGTGCTGAACCAGTCAATCGTATTCCTTGTCAATGTTGTCAAAGACGGCATCTTCCTATGTTGTTGCAATAGTGCCAAAGAGCTCCCAGTTGGTGGTCGTTCTGGGAGTTCTCTTCTTAAACGTTGTAGCCCTCTCTCCCCGCTCTGTGAAGTAGAATTTTGCATGAAGGAGGTGGTGATCCAATCCCATTTGGAATTTTGGGACAACAGCAACATCGGTCAGGCAAAACAGTCTGAATATAATGTGGTCACTTTTGTTGTGGAACTGTCCACTGTGAGACTCCCATGTCCAACATTTAGATTCGGCCTTCTGGAACTGTGAGTTACCATGGATGGTCTTGATCGACATGATGAACACAGACAGTCTCTCACTTGGTTTGTTCCATTCTAGGCCATTGGTCCTGATGTGGAGTTCTTCGGGCGACCTTCTTGGTCCTATCTTGGCATTAAAATCACCGACAATGATCTTGTAGAAGGTGTGGTCATCTTTATAGAACTTCTTCAGCTCCATGTAGAACTTCTAAATTCTTCTTCATCATAGTTGCATGTTGGTGCATAGACGACGAAGATAGAAACTGTTGGCAATGAGCCACATCTATTTAAGCATAATCGTCCGATTCAGGTTATTAGGCATTCGAATGAATCAATGCTCATTGCCAAGTTCATGTTGACAAGGACACTGACACCACCGACACCTCTATTGTTGCATGTTCCGAGGAACAGTTCTTCTCCAGTGTCGAAAATGGCATGTTGTGATCGATGCCTTCTCATCTCTATCAAACCAGTGATGTCATACTTGATCTTCTGTGCTTGCGTCATCAGGTCCTTGATGGATGCTTCCGATGCCAGCATATGTGCGTTGAAAGTACAGACAGTCATTTTAGTCCTTCGTTTTGTCAGCCTAGTTTGGCCCTAAGATTTTATCAGCCTCTCCTTGCTCATCTTTCTTAATGCTGCTATAGTTTACCACTTTCAGGGTCAGGGTAATTAGGCCCATTGTTTTTACTGTTTTTGGCATATTGAATATATGCCACGGGCAGCTTACCAGGCTCTGCCATGTGGGCAGGGTACTCTCAGTAGCTTGCCAGGCTCTCCAAGAGGGATAGTGGCTTTTAGGGTAGACTCTAATTGCCCTTATAGGTGTTCCCATGGTTCACACCATATTTGAACCCCATCAAATATGGAGCAGTAATCATGGAAAATGGGTAGGAAGTGTCTTATGGGTAGGAAGTGGCTTCGTGGCCACGTGGTCCGGAAAGCGGCCTGGAGCGTGGCAGCAGTTGAGTAGTGGAGGTCGGCCAATGAGGAATTTATCTGGCACCTTCAGGGTGGGTCTTATTGGTATGACCTCTGGGTCGCCAGAGATTGGTGGAAGCAGGCAGGCCGCTGCCATGCTCCAGGCCGCTTTCTGGATGCTAGGACTGAGCCTCACACATGAGTGAAGTTCCACAGAACCAGGTAAGCAGAACTTTGGAACTTTGGACACCAGGCTCAACAGGATTTAGAAACAGAGATCCTCTGCCTGCTTCCCCCAATATCAATTTATCTTAACTTAAAAAATACTGTGGGGTATGGTGTTGCCAGCAGGTCAATCTGTACCTGTGAGGCGAGTGGATCAGCAGCCTGATGGTGCCTTCAGACTTCTAGATACTCCCAAATTGCTGCTGTGCCTTTGGCCAGACCCCAACAACTTGGGGCCAAGTTTACCAAGAAAGTAAATGGCCAAAAGTTAGGTATGTGGGAGACACACCCACAAACCACCTCTGGCTCAGCTATGTAATTGGAGGCAAGACCCCTCTGGTTCCTGATAAAACTGCTTAACGGCCATGATCCAAGAGACTCAGAAACAAATCTCGGAACCCAGTGGTTTTTGGCAGAAATGCGTCTGGTTCCTGCAGTAGGTTACTGGCGCTTGGCCACCCCAGGTGGAATAGGTTTCGTGCCTTGGCCTGTTCCCCCGGTGGCTTGGTGACCGCCATTCTCCAAAGGCCATTGGACAGTCAGATTTGGGCCCATAGTGATGAGACTCTCAGGGCCTCACGGTATGGGGGTGGAACCGACCCTTTCCTCCCTGCCCCAACAAGACCCCAGGTTGTTGCCCACAAATGGCCTCTCTGGCTCCTGATCAAGCTGCTTAATGGCCATGATCCAAGAGACTCAGGAACAAATCTCGGAACCCAGCAGGTTTTGGCAGAAATCCCTCCAGATTTAATTGTTAAAATTTTGGAATTTCAAAATCGTGCGGCCACTGCTGCAGCCACGCGACATCATATGTTATTCATAACCAGCAATAGAAAACAAATTATCTATGGTTGCCTTTTCAGCAGATCTGAGTGTTGGGGTAAAATCCTGAATCATAATGGTGGGTCTGGTGTCGAAATATTGAATGTAATCAAAGTAGAGAGAGAGAGAGAGAGTAATGTGGAAATCATCTGCCCCACAGGTAGGGGGAGGATGTGGGATGGGGGGTATACTGGGGTTATTGGTGATGGAAAATGGGTACTGGTGAAGGGATGGGTGTTTCATCATTGTGTGACCGAGACTTAAACCCGAAAGCTTTGTAACTGTTCTCATGGTGATTCAATAAATAAATTTATAAAAAGGAAAAAAAAAGTAAGGTGGAGTTCATGACCAACTCAATCAGCCTAATCAATGACTGAATAAATAGCAATACTCCTACATTAAAAAATAAAAATTAAAAATTAAAAAATTAAAAATACTATTACCTTTACAGCGGGTAGGGCGTTTGCCTTGCACACAGCCAACATGGCCGACCCGAGTTCGATTCCTCCGCCCCTCTCGGAGAGCCCGGCAAGCTACCGAGAGTATTGGATATGCCAGACACAGTAACAACAATGTCTCCAATGGAGACGTTACTGGGCCCGCTCGAGCAAATCGATGATCAACGGGAGGGCCTTATTATATTATTATAAAAATAAAAATAAAAAATAAAAAATTTAAAAATACTACTACCTTTATAAAAAGAAGAAAAGACTGGCTCCAAAATAAATAAATAAATAAGAGTATATTACCAGCTCCCCCCAACCCCACCCCAAATCTGTCTGCAATATTAAATTAAATTGTTGATTTTTTTCCAAACCTAGATTCCCTATGTGCAGAATGTATGGCCTGGAACCCTAGTGACCCTCTGAGCCCACCAGCATCAATCCCTGGGCACAGAGCCAGGAGAAAGTCCTGAGCATAGCTAGGTGTGGCCCCAAAGCAAAAATAAAACAAAAAATCTGAATGGATTGTGGAGAATATAGAAAGTTTATAACCAGGGCCAATGAAGGTGAAGTGTCAGGATCCCAGCAATAAAATTTTTCTAACATCCAGGAAGACAGAAATAAACAAGTTAGGTAAACAAGTCTCACAATGGAGACGTCACTGTTGCCCGCTAGAGCAAATCGATGAACAACGGGAAGACAGTGGACAGTGCAGATAAACAGGAGTTCAGAGCAGAGATAAACTTTAACCTCTAGAGTAGAGCTGTCCAATTTGTAACGCAAATCCCACAGTGTAATCTTAAATGTTCTGTAATACATTAAAAATAAACAGGTAAGGCACTAGTCTCGCATACAGCTCAATTTAACTCAGATTGAACTCAACTGGACCCACATCAATCCCCAGCACCCCACATGGTTCCATAAACAAAGAGCCAGGGGTAAGCACCAAGCACAGCTGGGTATGGCCCCAAAATACAAACAAATAAGTTAATAGGTAAAATTTTTGAAAGACACAGGTGAAACTAATTTTATGTCATCGACCTCAACATATGCAAAAATATCATTTTAACATTAGTAGAAATGGTTAATAAAATACTTTAAGTCTTAACAATCCGGTGTGTGGATAATTTACAGTTCATGTCAATTCCTGTACTAAATTTCAGCGTTTAAAGGGACATGTGGCCCTAGTAAGGTGGAATTACTCCGAGAAGTATTCACACTGCTTCCCCTTCTGATACACATTAACTAAAATAAACTTCTGTCCTTCCGTGATACTAATCACAGTTCCAGTGCTCAGTGGCCGCCGTCACGTATTAACTCACGGCTTTGCGCAGAGCAAATCTGGGCTGCAAATACTTGAGCCCAAACTTTGCACCCTGAGCTCAAAATCCTGGAGAGCACGGTCCAAGAAGACTGGCCGAGGTCGAAAGGGGCGGCTCCTGCAGTTCCGCACGTTTGCACGCGGTGGCGCTAGAGAGCCCCACCCCCGTGCCCTCACGTGACGAGGGCCCAACCCCGGAAGCTCAATCCCCGCCTCCTATCTAGTTCCTCCGACGTTCTCCACCCCGCGTACGGCCGCCCGGAGCTCGGGGCTTCAGGTTGCTCCCCGGCAGAATGGGCTGCAGGGATGAGCCGCCGCGGCGTGCCCGGAGCGAGTGAAGGGCCGCGAGTCGTCGTCCCCGGGTGCGGCAACGTCCAGCTCGGCGGGGCCCCGCACGGACGGGTGGACGCGCAGCCCCGGGTCCGCGGCGGGCGCAGACGGCAGAGAGCCCTGCCTGGAAGCGCGGGGCGAGTCTCCGGCCCCCCAAGTAGCCTTCAGCGCCAAGGTCGCCCCCTGACACCCCACCTCCCCCGACTCGTGCACTGGCGGGCTCCTCTCCAATGATTCAGAAGGCGCACCCGGCACTGCTGCAGCCGGAAGATGTTGGGGACCACGTGGAAACGCTCGTGGTAAACTGCGGGAAAGGGGAGGCCCCAGAACCTCCGGCTGGGGGGCAGGGGACTTCGGGACAAGTCCAGGGGGGTGCCCTCGGGGGAGACTTGCCCGCATCCTGGACCCGTGCGGAACCGGTTAGTGACGTGGCGAGAGAAAAGAAATTTGGCGAAATACTTCGAAGGGGGCGGGGCAGGGAGGAGAGCAGTTGCCACTTAACCTTCGGGCCGGCCAAGTGTGTTAGTAACTGGATACTCCTGGGGACGGAATTACTGGGGGCCCAGGGCGTAGGAGGGGGGCGGACGTGGGAGGGTCCTAGGGATTGTGCCCGCGCCGCCCAGAGCCAGGTGACAGAGCGCGCCCGGACGTTGTTTTGAGCTAGAAGTCCGAAGTGGCCAGTGGCGCGGGCACATCTAGACAGGTATTTGGGCCGTCTCCAAGCTTGCGATGCCGTCGTGGCTCCCGCGTGTTGGGACCGCGGCTCTCCGGCCAGACCCGGGAAGCTGCTAGCATCCCTGCGGCTCCGGGCGCGGCCGCCGGAGACCACGCCCCCGCACCTGATTGGCTGCCGTGGCCGGGCCGCCGCGCCGCCATTGGCGGAAGCGGAGGCGGGGCTGGGCAGGTGTGTCCCGGGGGAGGAGGATCTGACAGAGACGGGCTGCGGGTGGGTGGAGGCGGGTGCGCAGCCCTGGCCTTGGGCTGCGAAGGCCGGGACGGTGGCCACTTTCACCCCCCACCCCCCGAAGGTCATAGTTCAGGCCACCCGCGGCAGGTGACGGGGTGCGAAGCAAACGTTAATCCTTACCTAGGGAGCGGAGAGATGGTTTATCGGGCTAGAGCACAAGCTTTGCATGCAGGAGCCCCGGGCTTTGATTCCGAGCACCAGTTGGTCCTTAGTGAGAGCATTCCTTCCTTTATTTGTGGGAAATTTCTCCAGGGAGGAAGGTCCTGCAAGAGGTGAGGAATGGATCTGAGAGTGGCCTGACATTTGGCTGGGAGGGCGAGGAATCAACGGCCAGTTCTCCCTAAGGTCATAGTTGGGTGACCCTTAGGGAGTGGCAGGGTGTAGAAGAAAACTAAGTGAATCTCCTTAAGTTGAGATGTCTCTCTGCCCCTGGTGAACTCTCAAAACAAGCCAAATAAATCCCAGCGTGTAGGTTGCAGTTTTACATTTATGTTTTTGTTTACTTGTTTGGTTGAGGGGGGGGTGTCTTGTAGGGAACACCCCCTAAGATGGCCTGCTGTGCCTGGAATAGGACCAGATCTCCCACTGCAAAGCATCCAACTTGTCACATTGAGTTCTATCTCTCCTGCCCCACACATACATCCTTGAAGAATACACTGAACCTCTTTCTCAGCCTGGCTCTACCCTCTCTGGCTTCAAGATCTAAATTGTATTTAAGTTGTTTTGTTTTGAGGAGAGTAGGTGTTGCTGTGAAGCCAATTTTTTAACTATTTAAGTGCTGTAGTTGCCACTGTGCCTGAATTGTTATTTGACTGTTTATGCCCACTCTGTATTAAGAGAAAATTGGACTTTGGGGATTTGCTGCAGGTTACTTTGTGCTATATAGGGGGAAAAATCACATTGATCTTGGAGTGGAGATAGAACAGGGATTAAGGTGTGCTTGTATGCTTCCAGACCCCATTAGATCCCCAGCAACACATGTGGTCCCTTGAGCACCACTAGGACTGATCCCGGAGCACCAAGTCAGGAGTAGTCCTGAGCACTGCTGGATGTGACCCAGGATGTGACCCAATTCCCCCTACTCCCTCTCCAAATTATATCAGAGTTACGTCCTTTAAGAATGTTCTTTGAGAACTGAAATTCTTTAAGACCGTTTACAATAAAACTACAGTGTCTTCTTGTTTGTTTGTTTTTATTGATTTGGAGATCTTAGAAGTTGGGCTTCTCATTTCCCTTTTATAATTATGTTTTTGGTGCCAGCACCCAAACATGCAAGGCAAGTGCTCTGCCACTGAGTCGCATCCCTGACCCTCTCTCTTCCCTTTAAAAAAAAAATTCTATAGTTTACCACTGGGAGGCAGCTCTGCCTTTATGAGCTTTTTACTTTTCTCCATCTTGGAGCAGTTATGCGGCCTCACATCAGTGGTGTTTCTCTTTTTTTGTTGTCTTGTTTCTTGTTTTGGGGTCACAGCCAGCGATGTTCCAAGATCAGTGCCGGCTCTGCACTCAGGAATCACTGCTGGCAGTGCTGGGAGATCATATGGGTTGCTGGACCAAACCTGGGGCTTCGGCTGTGGTTCAGCTGAGTCAAGGCAAATGCCCCGCCCGCTGTGCTATTGCTCTCTCCCTTAGTGGTCTTTCTCAGGTTGCAGTTCCCTTGACCATAAATAAAAGCTTCATTTTCACCTGCATAGAGACTTCTGGGTCACTGATGAAATGTAGTGTTTAACCCTGTTAGGTAACTCATTCTTTTTGTCATTGTTGTTGTTCTATTTTTGCTTGGGGGCCACCCGTGGTGGTGCTCAGGGCTTACTCCAGGCTCTGCACTCAGGGACCACTTCTGGAAGTGCTCAGGAACCAGATGGAGCATCAAGGATTGAACCCAGATCGACCATTTCAAGACAAGCGCCTCACCTGCTGTACTAGTTCCAACCCATCTTTCTGTTTCTTTGTTTTGGGGCACATCTAGCAGTGCTCAGGGATTACTCCTACCTCTGCACTCAGGAATTTCTTCTGGCGGTGCTCAGGGGGATCCTATGGGATGGTGGGGATCGAATTCGAGTTGGCCTTATGCAAGACAACTGCCTTACCTGATGTACTCGCTCTTCATCCCATCTCCCCACCCCCCCACACACCCCCCCACCCCACCTTAATTTCCATTCTTGGCTGAAGAGATAGTATAGAGGTTGAGACACTTGACCAAGCCCAGAATCAGGAGTAGCCACTGATTACAAACTGGTTATGAAGACTAAACCTCGAAACAAGTAAATGAACTTGTATTCTATTCTAAGTATTCAAAAGGGTTTTATCTCTTTTCTTTCAAAGAAATATGCCAATGATTGTATATTTATTCCCATTTAGTTTTCATTTCTTTCACCTTGAAGATTCACCAGTCAGTCTTCCTTTCTTACTTTACTCACCATGCCAGGAAACAGTGGATTCTTTTATCTTTTAAATTTAGACCCTCTTCAAGGGCTGGAGCGATAGCACAGCGGGTAGGGCGTTCGCCTTACAAGAGGCCAACATGGCCGACCCGAGTTCGATTCCTCCGCCCCTCTCGGAGAGCCTGGCAAGCTACCGAGAGTATTCGATATGCCAGACACAGTAACAACAAAGTCTCCAATGGAGACGTTACTGGGCCCGCTCGAGCAAATCGATGATCAACGGGAGGGCCTTTACCTTTACCTTTTACCACCTCTGGACCAGCTCAGCCCCAGTCTCTTTCCCTCTCGTAACCCATTGATTTATTTTGTTTTCCTCCTGACCTATGATCTCAAATTCCTTGCATTTTGCTGCAGATAGTCAAATTTTATCTTTTTTATTGCTAAACAGTATTCCAGAGAGAGAGAGAGATAAAGAGGTGGGGAGTCCACATCTCAATCCAGTCACCTATTAGTGAGAACTTGGACGTTTTCCATTGTTTATCTATTATACATAATGTGGCAATCAACTTTGGTGCCTGCCATTGCTCCTCTGGGCAAAGCTGAAGACAGAGCTGCTGCCTTGTCGCCAGAGACCTTTCTATCCTTAAAGGAAAAATCTCCATCTGTACTGATGTCTGCCTCAGCAGTGTCAGTCTGTCTCATACTCTCCTGACAAGCCCTACCTTCTCTGTGCCTCACTCTTTCCTGTGCACCCCACAGAGTGTGGCATGACTAGAGGTCAGGTCTGGATTCCTTCTGGCTCCTGCTGGAGGCCCTGGGCTGCGGGCACCTGCTGCCCTGTCAGCCCTGGCCACTTGTCCACGTCATCCTGAGCCTGCGTCTGGAGCTGTGTGAAAAATTGAAGGCTCAGAAACTCTGACAGCTTCTGGCCACTCTGACCGGGAGGAAGGAGGCAGGGCCCAGGGATAAATTAGACTCAGGTGTGTGGAAGAGCAGGGAATGAGGGGAAGGAGCCTCAAGATTCATTTGGGAAAGGCTCCTCAGGCCAGTGATTTGGACTTTATTCGGAGGAATGGAGAACACTTAGAGGAACTTTTTTTTTTTGTCTGTTAATTTGCATTTAAAAGACTCTATTAAAGGGGCAGCCAGAGTTCACAGCTGGAGTGTGTGCTTTGGGTTCAGGAGTTCTGGATCAGCACCTTCACCCCACCCCCCAGTATCGATCTGAGAGTGGCCGGGAGCACAGCCGGGTAGTGTCTGAAACCAAAAGATGAAAACCACTGTTCAGTTACGTTTAATTTCATGTACTATTTTTTTTTATAACTGCTATTTTTAAATTTTTAGAATTTACTTGGGTGAGGACCACACCCTGCAGTGCGTTGGGACTATTTCTAGCTCTGCTCAGAAATGACTGATAGTGGCATTTGGGGGACTATAGATGACGCCGGATCAAGTAGGGGTCAGCTTCTTGCGAGGCAAGCACCTGAAACCCTGTACTTTCTCTCAGGCCTGTTTTTACTTTTTAAATCAATAGCTTCAGAGTGTGCAATAGCTTCAAGTTCATTGGTAGGTTTTGCACCCAGAAACCACACGTCAGAACTGTGGTTTCAGAGGCCAGAGGATGGACAGGTTTTGAGAGGAGGCGATATAGGGGAGCCGTTTGGAGTTGAAGAGAGGTGAAGTCAAAGCTGGGGCTCAGGGGTTGGAGAATAGCACAGCAGGGACGGCATTTGCCTTGCACGCAGCCAACCCAGCATCCCTTATGGTCTCCCAAGCACCATCAAGAGCAGTTCCTGAGTGCAAAGCCAGGAGTAACCCCTGAGTACAATAGGGTGTGGCTCAAAAAATCAAAAAGGCCGGTGCTCAGGAGTCTGGTGGGGCATTCCCCAGGAGAGAATGATATGGAAAGTGTGTAAGAAAAAATGTCACACCTGAATGTTATGAAATGTGTAGCCCGTTAGGAAATGTGTTTCTTGGATTTACTTTTTTGTTTCTTTGTTTTGTTTTGTTTTTTGGGTCACACCTGGCTTCCTGTGCCCAGGGCTTGCTCCTGACTTTGGGCTCAGGGATCACTCCTGGCCAGCTTGGGACCAAACAGGATGCCCGGGATCTAACCCAGGTCGGGTATGTGCAAGGGAAGCTCCTTATTCATTGTATTATCTCTGTAGTCCCACGTTTACTCGGTTTCTTTTTTAACCTGTACTGCAATATCTGTTTCTGTATCCCCTGCTTAACTTTTTGACACCCAAGCCTGTGGGCCCCATCGCCCCACAGTTATCCTAACTACTGCTGTTAATACTAACTTAAGGACTTTTAGTTTTCCTGTTCTTGATTGAGATAGCTAACTCCCTGCCACCTTCAACCCCTTACTTGCTGTCCACACCAACATGCCTAGAGGCCTGTAGGGCTTTATGTCAGAAAGTCACTGACACAGAATTCCAGAGTAATCTCCTGCCCCGTACACCCCCCCCCTCCCCCCCGCAACCACCAACCTAATAAAAAACACCCTCTGAACCTTCTGGAGGTCAGTTGTTCATTCAGAAAGATTTTCTTCTTTAAGGAAATAAGAGAGATGGCCCAGTTCCAGTTAGGAAATGTCACCTGAGGGCCCCGTGGGCGTGTAGCTGTGGGGTGACGTTGCAAGTGGAAAGATTTCAAGAGGCCGCAGGAGAGCTGGGAGGAGCCCAGCAGTTCAGGCCAAGAAAGCATTTCCAGATGAGCCAGTGATGGACCGAAAGTGGATTACTGCTGAGAGTCTGCAAAGTGGCCTGGGTATTCAGTGGTACCATGCCTTGGACATGTGAGGTCCTGGGTTTGATCCCCAACACTGCAAAAAAAGGGTAGAGTTTGTGGGGGGTGGGGGGCAGGGCACAGGCAAGTAGAGATGTGGTGAAGATATTTGAAGCCACTGGGCTCTGAATTCATCTGTGAGAAATGCCCAACTCTCAGAAGTGTCCTGTCCTGAGAGTTAGAGGAGGTGCAAGGGGCTGCCTTGCCTGGGGGCCCCCCTGGAGGGTGGGTCAGCTCTCTGGACACCCACGATCCTCACAAAGGCCACTGGGGTGACTGGCTGGGGGCAGATTCTGGGAAGGTGTGTGTGTGTGTGTGTGTTTGATTATGTCTGTCTGTCCGTCTGTCTGCCTGTTCGCCTGTCTGTCGGTCTGTCCGTCCTGGGTCTCCTCTTTGGAATGCAGAGTGGGAGTTGCCTGTGGGCCCCTGGAGATGAGGTGGAGGCAGGGGATCGGGGCTGGAGAGGTGGGCGTTGCCCGCATGTGTGTGTATATGCTGACAGTGATGAGGTCGCCCTGGGAGGTGCAGGCAGAGGAGATAAGGGGGACCAAAACATCTGTGAGCGGCCTGAGAAGGAGCCCAGAGGAACTGAGAGGAGGCAAGAAGCATTTCCGATGCTCCAGCGACAGCAGGAGAAAGCCACAGACGGGAGAGGGGCCCCGGGCGGCAGCACCGTGGTGAGCTGCGGGCAGTTTCACTCTGGTGCTCTAGACTACTCCTGGCCAAACCTGGGGCCTATGGGGGCACCAGCGGTGAGGGAGTAGCAGTGTGGCGGCGGGTGGGAAATGAGGGGTTTTCACACTTGTGGCCAGCACAGGAAAGAGGCCAGGGTGCCTGCGGCGGGAGGGGGGGGGGGGGCTTGCAGTCAGGTGAACACCTGTCAGCAAAGAGGCTTGGGCACGTCCCCTCAGGGGAAAGGGCATTGGACGCCTGGCCATGGGCCTGACCAGATGTGTGTTTTGCTCGGTTGTGATTGCTTTATCAATTTTACAGCCTTGAATACTTAACAAGCTTTTTGAACATGGTTGTAAACGCCAAACTTTCTTTTTCTGAACCTCTGTGGTCTTTCTCTCAAGTGTTATTTTGGGGTTTCTCCCAGCTGAGGAGACCAGGCAGTGCGTGTGGGCCTACTTAGGGCCTTCTTTCTGCACATGTGCACTCAGCCTCAGGGGCCTTCCCAGTAGTCGTCTGAGTAATTCTGGTAGTAACTGGAGACTTGCTCCTCGGATGGAATTTGGAGCTATCTCTCTTCTCCATCAAAGAGATCACAACAACTTATTTCTAGTAGGTGAGGTGACAACTTCATATTCATCCAAACAGGGTTTTATGAAAATAGCATACCATTTATGTATGGTAAGAGCATAGGGGCCAGAAAGATAGTACAGCAGGCGTTTGCCTTTCATGTAGCTGACCTGGGCTCGATCCCCAGAATCCCATATGGTCCCTCAAGCCTTCCAGGAGTGATTCCGGACCAGGAGTAACCAGGAGTAACCCTGAGAACTGCTTGGTGTGACCCCCCCCCCAAAAAAAAAAACTAAAAATAAAATAAGAGTGAAAATGCCATTTAATGATTGGGGAGAGTTTTGGTTTTGGTTTTGAGGGGCCACACCCGACAATGTCCAGGAATCACTCCTGGCAGTGCTTAGGGGGATTCTATACAGCGCCAGGCTCTAAGAAGGGCCAGCTGTAAGCAAGGCAAGTGTCTTGACTGTGTTTTGGTGTTGGGTTCTTTTTTGTTTGTTTCTTAAGTGGGATTTGTCAAATATCTTTAGTAGAGAAGAGAGCTTTACTTTGGGGGGTGGGGTGGGGGAAGTTATTAAAAAGTTTTAGGTGCCTTATCCCAGTCCTTTGTACTTCCAGGCTGGATTCTGGAGCTTGCTGGAGGCCTCCCGGGCATGCTTGGGAGGGGCGAGAGTACATTTTTTTTTCTCTTGAGAATCTTGCTTTTCTGAGTAGTACCCCAAGATAACCCAGTAGTGTGACTGTGGTGCCCGGCTTAACGGAGACCAAGTAAACCAGCAGTGGGCACTAGTTTGTGACACTTGTGTCTGAGACCTGCTGAGGTCCCCGGAGAGATGCGTGAGTCTAAGAATGCGATTAAGTTAAGATCAAGTTAAGTAGACTTGACTGGGAGTGGCAGTGTTTCCTTGACAACTGTTTGCACATATAGTTTCACTTCCTTTGCCATGAAGCTGTTGCTGTCTGTCGCTCCTGCGCCTCAGCTCAGGGAAACCCACACCTCCTCCTTAAAGCACTGTTCTTTTCTCTCATGAAGACGCCGAGATCCCAGGGCAATGATGTTTATTGTCAGGGACTGTGGCTGGTGGCCTGATTCATGAATGGAAACAGATGGGTTGCTCAGTAGTCGCAGAATAGTCATCACTATTAAGACACGAAAGGTTGTGTGTGTGTGGGGGGGGGGGCGTTGCGGAGTGATAGTAGAGTGGGTTGGGCACTTGCTTTTTTCTTTTTTTTTTCTTTTAATTGAATCACCATGAGGTAGAGCATTACAAAGCTGTTCATGATTGAGTTTCAGTCATATAATATTCCAACATGCATCCCTCAACCAATGTAATTTCCCAGTACCAGTGTCCTCAGTTTCCCTTCCATCCCCTCAGCTGCCCCCAAGCCAGTCTGCCTCTCCTCTGTCTCTGTCTCTGTGTCTCTGTCTCTGTCTCTCTCTTCGGGCATTATGATTTGCAATATTTATTGTCAGGGACTGTGGTGCCGAAAGGTTATCTTCAGCACTTTACCTACTTTAAACTTTACCTACTTTCAACATTTAATTCTTATCCAGAGTGATCATTTCCAACTGTTGTCGTCATACTGGACCTTCCTCTAACTTATCTACCCTCTGGCCCCCACACACTTGTGGTAATTTCCAACCATTGATCAGTCTAGGGCACTTGCTTTGCAAGCAGCCTGGGTTCAATTCTCAGTATCCCATGTAGTCCCCGAGCACTGCCAAGAGTCACTTCTGAGAATAGAACCAGGAATAACCCTTGAGTACCACCAGGTATGGACCTCTGAGAGAGAGAGAGAGATTGAGAGATTGCTCAAAGGGCAGGTGAACATGCTTTTGTGCAAGAGTTCCAGGCTCCATCCCAGGGCCACCATTACCTGGTGGCCCAAGAACAAACAACAGAATCCTAAGACTGGTGAGCTATATCTTTCTGTGTACTATTTTTTCAGCAACATTCTGACCATGTTCATTCCTGGCTAACAATCCCTTTCCCTCCTCTAACCTGTGACTGGAATCTGGGGGGCCACCAGGTAAATTTCTCGAGATCCTTATGGGGGAACTGACCCGCCCCCGGTTTGCGGGGAGAGAGGTGAGACACGGTTCCTGCGAAGCTGCTCACGCCGTGTCTGCTCGTCCTGCAGCTGCATCCGGTGATCAAAGCGTTCCTCTGTGGCTCCATCAGTGGCACCTGCTCTACGCTCCTTTTCCAACCTCTGGATCTCCTCAAAACGCGCCTGCAGACCGTGCAGCCCCCGGCCAATGGGTAAGGCCTGCTGCCGCCCCATTTCACCACGTGAAGTCCACCAAACCCTGGGGGTGCTCGTGGAGCAGCAAAGGGCATGTGGGCCCAGCCATGGTCCATGAATGTTTTCCTGACCAGGCATGTCTTGATAGTTAGGTGGGGCACCTCCTGAGACCTGTCTCGGGGCACTGGTGTTTTATTGTCTTTTCCTAATAAGTGTCTAATTGTCCTTACTGGTGTCTGATGATACGGGGGGGGGGGGGGGGGGGGTGGAGAGAGTCTGTGTGTCTGTGTATGTGTCTTTGTTTGGGGAGCAAGGGTGTTCTGGAATAAGTATTGAGTGGCAGCTGGAGAGGTAGAGAGGGTAAGGTATTTGCCTTGCCTGCAGCTAATCTGAATTTGATCTCCAGGCACCCCACATGGTTCTCCTGGTACCTCCAGGAGTGATCCCTGAGCACCACCACTGGGTGTGTCCCTCACACTGTTAAAAAAAAAAAAAGAAAAGAAAAGTATTGAGTGCCCTTTTGGAGTCCAGTGCTGCGCTTTGCACTGTGCGAGCGTGTTCAGATGTGTATGGAGCAGGGAGTTTTGGAGGGACAGAGGACAGATAGACTCACGCATGTTAACCATGAGCACCCAGGCACGAAGTTTCTCCAGGATGCCGGTGGAGGAAAGAGCCCGTGTGGAGAGGTCTCAGGGGTGCCCTGGCCCCGAAGACAGTCTAAGTGACCTTTGTCTTCCCTGCCTCCATTTCATCTGCCCTCAGATCCAGACGTGTTGGGATGGTGGCTCTGCTCTTGAAGGTGGTTCGCACGGAGAGTCTCTGGGGCCTTTGGAGGGGGATGTCACCTGTAAGTCGCCTGTGGGGTCTTTTAGCACCTGTCATTTCTCATCTATCTCCTGTAGCCTTTGTGGATGTGCAAGAGGGGGATGGAGAGAGTTACAGAAATGAAGGCACTTGCTTCCAAGAGACCAACCCAATTCTTTTGTTTGTTTGTTTGTTTGTTTGTGGGGGGGGGGGGACACGTTGGACTCCTGACTCGTGTGGTTCTGAGCTTAGGGGTCACTCCTGGCATTGCTGGAAGGCACCAGATGTATTGCCAAGGATCCAACTGGGGTCAGTTTGCAAGTGCAGCACCTTATGCTGCCAGTGTGACCCCCTGAGAACAGAGCCAGGAGTAAGCCCTGGTTAGTGCTGGGTATGGCCCAAACATCACTCATCACCCGCGCCCCCAAATAAATGAAGAAGTGAAAAATACTAAAACCTCCAATTCAGTTGGAGAGAAAACTAAAGCGTGCCCTGTGTTGAGTCACAGAGTTCCCAGAAAGCTGCAGTTTCTCCAGCGGTAGCTGGTCCCTTCCTGGACCCCCTTCCCTGCCTCCCTTTCCCACTCCTGAAGTAGGATTCCTGCTGCATCTCTGATCCTCAGCCGCCTGCAAACCTGGGTCTTCTCCTGGGATGCCCCAGCTGAGGCGGGAGCCCCCAGTGTCGGGTCTGTGATGTTGCGGTCCTTCTGCCTCTCTCTTGCAGTCCATCGTGAGGTGTGTGCCCGGCGTGGGCATCTACTTCGGCACCCTCTACTCTTCCAAGCAGTACCTCCTCCGAGGCCATCCCCCCACTGCCCTGGAGTCAATTATCCTGGGGATGGGCTCTCGCTCCGTCGCGGGGATCTGTATGTCACCCATCACGGTGATCAAAACACGGTATGAGGTGAGTTGACAGCTTTAGGCCCTGCAATAGAGATTGGGGGAGGGGAGGCGGGGACTCTTGAGCCACGTGGCTGCTGATGTGAGCTCCCAGCTGGGCGTGGAGCTGGTGTGATCAGAGCCAAACATGGCAGGCCCAGAGGCCAGGTGCCCTGAGCCTTACCCGAGGAGGACCTGGTTCCTCTGACACAGGGCCTCCACCCACACCCTCACGTTTTCTGTGCTTCCTTGGCAGAGTGGGAGGTACGGCTACGGGAGCATCTATGCGGCCCTGAGGAGCATCTATCGCACCGAGGGCCACCGGGGCCTTTTCAGCGGCCTCACAGCCACACTCCTCCGTGACGCTCCCTTTTCTGGAATCTACCTGATGTTTTACAACCAGACCAAAAACATTGTGCCCCACGGTATGGTAAAGGGAAGGAAGAAAGGGGCGTGAGTGTGAGAGTGTGTGTGTGTGTGTGTGTGTGTGTGTGTGTGTGTAGGAGGGGTGTGGGGGTGGTAGAAATCTCTGGAGTCATCCCCTCCTCACCTCTCTCTGTGGGTGAGACGCCTGGTTCTGGGCAGTGTCACATTCTGAGTGGTTTTCGGAACTGAACCCTTATCCATGTTGTTGCCGGCCTGGGGCTGGGGCCTGGATGCAATTGTGTTAAGTGTGAGCTGCTGGTGGTTTGTGGTGGAATCAGCCTGTTCATTCAGAGAACTGCCAGTGAGCTTCTTGGGCTGGGGTGGGGTGGAGTAAAGCTTCCTTTGCTAAGTTCTGCAGTAATACTTCAAGTTTTCTGATCTTTGAATCGCTGGCTTCCTAAATCAGAATCTGTGGGACAAGCCTGGGAGCCTGTTGTTTCCAGGTGTACTTGAACTGTTCTCAGCGGACAGGTTTGGGAAACGTGGATGGGTTTGGCTCTGGAAGGAAAGCCTTCCTTGCTGTGCTCTTGGGTACTGTGGTTTTGAACCCTTGGTTTGGGTGGCGAGAAAGGGCAGAGCTGATGGGCAGTAACAACCCACCAAAGCAGAGCCAGGCATGGACAGAAAAGTTCCCTGTGGAACAAAGCTGTGTTCAATCAGGAGTCAGTGGTACTCGGAGCCTTGGACTGCACCTCCCCGTCATTTCTCTGGGAACGCCCAAATGCCTTCAGCATGGCAGTGGTGATCAGTTGTAGTTTGGGAACTTCAGGAGATTAGGGGCTTCTGCCCAAATCCCAGAAGGGGTGATACTACCCCTTCTCTTCTAAATAATACTGCAGAAATTTAAGGCAGAAAAACAGCTTGGATAAGTACTTCTGACTTCTCAATCCATCTTTTACATTTCTTTCTGATTTGGTTTCCAAAATCACATGAAGCTTGGGGTTTGTGGCTTAGTGAGGTGCATACCTTGCAGTATGACGTCCTGTGTTCTATCCCTGGCTCCAAATCACATCAAAACAGCAAAAAGATGCAAGAATAGTACAAATAATTTCATGGCCATATGTAATTTCCCCCCAAACCATTTTGGAGTAAGATGGGACAATTTTTTTTTTTGTTTGGGGGCCATACCTGTTGATGCTCAGCGGTTACTCCTGGCTCAGTACTCAAGAATTACTCCTGGTGGTGCTCAGGGGACCATCTGGGATGCTGGGACTCAAACCCAGGTTGTCCGCTTACAAAGCGCCTTAGCCACTGTACTGTCATTCCAGTCCCCTAGAGGGATGAGACAGTTTTTTAAAAAATTAGTTTCAGGGACCAGAGCCATAGAACTGTGGATGGGGCGCTTGCCTTGCTCATGACCAACCCTGACTTGATTCCTGGCACCACCTGTGGTCCCCAGGTGTGATCTGAGGAGAGATCCCTGGGTGTAGGCAGAACCAGGAGGAAGCATCACTGGATGTGGCCCCCAAACTTGAAAGATTAAAAAAGAAATTCAGTTGCAAAAATGCTGCCTGTTTTCCTTACTTTATTTCCCTAAAGACAAGGATCTCCTTATATTGCCAGCACAGCAGACATAGGAAACTTAAAAACATGATGCAAATCTTTGATCTATATTCATAATTTTCCCATGTACCAATAATGTACTTTCGGTTTTGTGTTTGGGGTTGCAGGATGCGACCACCCAGCAGTGCTCAGGGGCTACTGGAGCTCTGTGCCCTGGGGACCTGAGGATTGGGCCCTGGGTCAGCCCCAGGAAAGGCAGTCCATTTAACCCCTGAACCATCAGTCTGGCGGGCCTGCAATATTGTACTTTATAATCATTTTTTATCTTGGAGTCTATGGGCCAGTTACATTACCTCCTCATGGGTTGACTTGACGTTTCCTTTTGATTAGACTTAGTTGTTGCCTGAGGCTCATGGCTACGGTAGCCTCCCTGATCCCTTCTAGCAAGAGGCTCAGGACATTGATTTGGACCTTGTGGTGGACGTCAACCATTTATTATTATTATTATTATTGGGATAAGGTCGTGTTTTCACTGAAAACGGTTATTTTTCCTTTGATAATTTGTAAATATATATGTGTGTGTATTTGTGTGGGTGGTCCCAGGGATCAAACCCAGGACCTAACACCTGCAAAGGAGCAAAGCAAGTTCTTTACCACCAAGCTACATCCCAGGCCAATATTTTGAATCAATATGAATTCATATGCAACATCCTCTTCCTTTGATGCTTGTGTTAGTGAATTAGCATCAGTTAGGTTATTCTTGGTCACGGTCATGGTCCTCCCGTTGTTCATCGATTTTCTCGAGCGGGCCCAGTATGGTTATTCTTATTCAGGCAAAAATAATAATTCAATAATGGTTGTATAGAAGTAAATTTCCAACTTCAGTATTCCACTACATTTATTAAGTTGCATCTTTCCTTTCAATTTTTAGTAAGTGCTCAGAGGTTACTCTTAGAACAGTGCTCAGAGGTCTCTTCTGCTAAGTGTGGTGGATATACTTGAGACCACTTAGGGCACCATGCAGTGCTGGGGACGGACGGGGACTCCTTCACACAAAGCACACACACTTTTGCCCTTTAAATTGTCTTCCTCTCCGGTCCTCAGTTTTCAATTCTTTTTTGGTGAGGACAGTCGTTCACTTTATTTCCTGTCCCTCAGGCAGTGTTTAGTTCCTTAATCTTGTTTGAATCCAAACCCTTCTGACACTGGGGGAAGAATTACTGAACAAGTTGGCACTGATATTTATCTGTGAATGGGAGATTTATTTATTTATAACGTTCAGTGAATGTTGCCTTTGTTTTCTTTCAGACCAGTTGGATACAACCCTTATTCCTGTTGTGAATTTCAGCTGTGGGATATTTGCTGGTATTCTGGCCTCGCTGGTAACTCAGCCTGCAGATGTTATTAAAACCCATATGCAGCTCTCTCCAGGGAAATTTCGGTGGATCGGGCAGGCCGTGATGCTCATTTTCAAAGTAAGCAGGTTGAACAAATAGGTTTTCTTGTTTCTGGCTTTCTAAAGCAGAGGTTCTCATCTTTCACTTTTTGTTTGTTTAGTTTTTGGGCCACACCCGGTGGTGCTCAGGGGTTACTCCTGGCTGTGCACTCAGAGATCACTCCTGGCAGGTTCAGGGGACCAAAGGGGATGCCGGGGATTGGACCCCAGGTTGGCTGCATGCAAGGCAAGAGTCCTACCCGCTGTACTAGCTCTCTAGCCCCTCATTTACTATTTAGTATGCGTTGCCCAGGTTGAGAACCGTTAATGAAAACCTATAGTCTCTTGAGTTTTTTGTTTGTTTTGGGGGGAAGGGTCACGTACTGAGGACAAGCAAGGTGTTTGTTAAGCTTGCAAACTATTTATCAAGTCAGGTGATGCAGGAGGCTCGAGCAATCTAATCAAGAGCCTAAGAGGAAGTGTAGGCAGAAAAATAGACATGCTTTATTTTTCAGTTTGCTCTAATACTAATACACAGATGACATTATGAAAATAAAAAGTGCAGTCACTACAAGGGCTGCTAAAATTCTGTTTCAAAACCTGAGGGCCAGGCTGGAGGCGCACAGGGCTGGTGAACACACTTGACCCTTGATGCAGGAGGCCCCAGGTTTAATCCCCGGCACTGCATAGTCCCTGCTGAGTTTTAAGAGAACTCAGACTTTTTTTAATTTGGTTGGGTTTGTGGGTGGTGTGTTGGGCCATACCTGTCTGTGTGTGGGCTGACTCTTTGCTCAAGGGTCCCTCCTAGGGCCATGCGCAGTGCCAGAGATTGGAGTCAGCCATGTGCTAGACAAATGTTTTCAGCCATAAGCCACCATTTTAAAGTTCATTGTCTCCTTGGAACCATTACTCATAGTTTTGGCATTTTAAAAATAAGTCTGTGGGGCCACTTGAGCACTACCAGGAGTGATCCCTAAGTGCAGAGCCAGGAAGGAGTAAGCCCTGAGCACTGCTGGGTGTGGCCAGAAAGGAAAAGAAAGGAAAAGAAAAGAAAAGAAAAATTGTCTGTGTGGCCAGAGAGATAGTACAAAGGTTAAGACACTTGCCTTGCATGCACCCGACCCTAGTTGATCCCTACCACCGTATATGGTGCTCTGTGCACAACCAGGAGTGATCCCTGAGCCATTGGTCCCCCAGAAATTAAAAAATCAGAGGCTGAAAATTTAGATTTAAGAATGGGCTCATGCAAGAGATGCTCACGCTGGTTGTATGTGCAGAATTCCCCTGCCACTTTGCTTCCAGAGTTGTGAACTTCCCTTTTCCTCACAGGACTACGGGCTACGTGGCTTCTTCCAGGGCGGTGTTCCCCGGGCCCTCCGCAGAACTCTGATGGCAGCCATGGCGTGGACAGTGTACGAATCGATGATGGCCAAGATGGGCCTCAAGTCCTGAGCCAGAAGGGGCCCGGGAGAGGATGGAATCCTTTGCCCTGCTTGATGTTGCATCCCTGTGCCAGACTAAGACAGAGCCCTGTCTGGAGAACCGGGCGCTTAGGTGACCTTGAGTGACCCAGTTCAAGTAGCGAATAGACAGGTCTGAGTCAGGCCTTTGGAATCTCCCCAAGGCTCATGTAAACATGCAGCACATTGGGGAGTTGGGAGTACAGCGAGGCTGCCCGATGGGCATTTCCAGAGGGAGCTCTGCCAGGAGGCTCTGCCCACCGCCTCATGGCTTCCGGCCACCTCTTCCTCGAACCCAAGGAAGCTGTAACAGAGACGCTTCCTTCCAGAGGGGCTGGAGCTTCAGAGAGAGGAGTCGCTGTTACCAGGCCAAGTCTGGTATTAGGGGGAGAAAGAAGCAAGGGTGTTATTTCATTGGCTCTTAATAAACTCAGACGATTTGGCAAATGGAGAGTGGTTTCTTAGCCTCTAAGTGTTCTGACATGTTTCTGCAGCTCACGCAGGTAAGTCTGAAGCACGTTATCATTGAAAGCTGTATAGGACACCTAAATAGTCCGGGAGCAGGGCTTGGCGAGGCGGGGAGAGGGGGAGCAGGTGGGGCACTTGACTTGCACACAGCCAACTTGCGTTCAATCCCCGGCATCTCATATGGCCTCCCTGAGCCTTACCAGGAGTGATCCTTGAGAGCAGAGCCAGAAGTAAGACCTAAGCTCAACTGGGTGTGACCCAACCAAACAAACCCCAAAACCCAAGTAGTGAGCCTGAGAGATGACTCCAAGGGCTGAGCACATTCTGTATATAGAAGCGCTGTTCTGTTCCTGGCACTGCATGGTCCCTGAGCACCCCCAGGAGTTCACCCCGAGCACTGAGCTTGGAGTAACCTCTGAGAGTGGCTGATGGTAACCACACAAAAAGGAGAGAAAGAAGAAAGAGTGTTATCACTGCTCGGGGCTGGAGCAATAGCAGAGCCGGTAGGGCATTTGCCTTGCACGCGGCCAACCCGGGTTTGATTTCCAGCATATGGTCCCATATCCCATATGGTCCCCTGAGCACTGCCAGCAGTAATTCCTGAGTGCAGAGCCAGGAGTAACCCCTTAGGATTGCCAGGTGTGACCAAAAAAAGAAAAAAAATAAAAGTGTTATCACTGCTCTAAAATAACAAATGTTGGTTGACTCTTCACCTACGTGGGTTCTAAATATCACCCCCCTAGATTTATCTCTTTTTCTTTTTTTCAAGGGGTGGGCTGTAGCAAGAATTCGGGGTCTCGTATATGCAAGGAAGGCCCTCTGCCGATGAGCCACATGCCCAGACCTAAAATATTTCTAGACACCTTTGATTTTTCTTTGTTTTGTTTTTGCTCTACACCTTGCTGTGCTCCTGGCTCTGTGCTCAGTGCTCGCTTCTGTTGGGTTTTTCTAAAACAGTTGGGGCATCTGTGGTGCCAGGGATCAGTTGAGCCCAAGGCAAGTGCCTTTAACTGCTGGTGCTATCTCTCCAGCCCCTAGACAGCTTCGCTTTTTTCATATCTTTATTAAGTGCTATATCTGTCAATACCAGTCAGAATTAGGACATGTTCATTCCCCAATAAGATCTCTTTGTTTTATTTATTTTGGATGGTTTGGTTTTGGTTTGAGGGCCACACCCGGTAATACACTGAGCCATTCCCTCTCTGCTGGGACATCACTCCTGGCAGTGCTCATGAGACCATGTGGTCCTGGGGACTGATCCCAAGTTTCTCACATGCAAAGCATGTGCTCAATCCATTGTGCTCTCTCTCTAGTACTCCCCTTTTTATCAAATTGAGACATGATTGATATATTTCATGTAATATGATTTATGTGTATGTTGTAAAGTGATCACAATAAGTCTAGTCCTATCCCTATGTAAAGTTAATATTTTTTTTTCCTATGATGAGAATTTTTAAGATCTACTCTGAGCAGCTGGAGTGATAGCACAGCGGGTAGGGCATTTGTCTTGCATGCGGCTGACACGGATGACCCGAATTTGATTCCTCTGCCCCTCTCGGAGAGCCCGGCAAGCTACTGAGTGTATATCGCCTGCACAGCAAAGCCTGGCAAGCTACCCGTGATGTATTCGATATGCCAAACACAGTAACAAGTCTCACAATGTTACTGGGCCCACTCGAGCAAATTGATGAACAATGGGAGGATAGTGACAGTGACAGTGACTCTGAGCAGCTTTCAAATATATTCTTTCCTCCTTTCCTGAATATTTTTTGGCTATTACATTGAAGAGAGGGGAAAAAAATCATGGCCTTGGACATCATTTGAAGACCTTAGTTAAGGTCTGGACATTTCTTTGGGGAGGGGGGCAGGGGGACACACCCAGTAATACTCAGGGGTTACTCCTGGCAGTGGTCGGGGGATCATATGGGATGTCAAATATCAAATTGAACCTTGGTCGGCCACATGAAAGGCAAACACCCTACCTGCATTATTATCACTCCAGTCACAAGGTCTGCATATTTCTAAGAACCTGTAGAAGATGTTAAGGGAGTTACTGTATGCAATATAGTTTATCTTAAAGTTAACATACTGTATATTACATCATAGCTCTGTGTGTGTGTGTGTGTGTGTGTTGTGAGGAATAAACTTGAACCTTATATGCAAAGCACACACTCTACCACTGACCTATGTCCCTTGCCCCCTAGATGTATCTGTTTTAGGGTTCACTCTTGGTGATACTCAGCTAACCAGGCCAGTGTTTCAGTGCTTAGGCCAGAAATGCTGGAGGTCATGCAGTATTGGGGATTGGGCCCCCAGAACCCTAAGCGGCTTCCTCTGTACTTGTTTCATTTTGGGGGCCACAACTGGTAGTGCTTGGGTACTATTCCTGGTTTTGTGTTTGGAGGATCACGTGGAACTGGTATCAAACCCTGACTTCCCGCGTGCAAAGCTTGTACTCAGCCCCGTCCTTGAACCCTCTTAGTCGTCTGAGCTTATTTTGAACTAGGAATTGGTTTTCTTTGCCACCTTTACCTATTTGGCTTTATCTATGGCCATTCCAACATCCATCTTATTTATAATCACATTTAATCCACTTGTAATGAACCCTTTGACAGTCTCAGTTTAAGGCAATGGTAATCGATAAATCTGCCTTTTCTAGACACTCGATAAATATGAAGCCGTATAATACTTGTGTCTGCTTTTTACTCCTTTTTAGAGGTTCATATTCAGTGTCTTTAATGGTCAAAACATACTCTATTGTTTGTCCATTCCATATATTTCATCTAACCGTTCATTTGACAAATATTTGCAGTGTTTCCACTTCTTGGCATTACTGAATGATATACTGCTCTGAACGTTGACGTATGTGTGTTTGTGTGGACATAAATTTTCAACTTTATTGTGTATGGAATTGTCAGGTCATGTGTACTAAACTGGCTAAACTACTTTACATACCAGCAGTATATGAAGGCTCTAGTCATCTGATACTGGTTATTGTGGTTTTCTTTCTCTTACCCTGACAAAGTTTGATTTTTTTTTTTTTTTTGCTGGAGAGGCTTCTGTGGGGTATCCACACCCAGGGTGCTCAGGTGCAGAGACTGAACCCAAGCCTGTACGCAAACCATGTGATCCAGCACTTTGAGTTCTCTTTCCAGCCCTCAGGGCAGACTCTATTTAATGTCTTTTTTTGTGTGTGTGGGGGTGGGAGGGGTGCAGATCACCTTTGGATATGCCCAGGTCTTACTCCTGGCTCTGTTCGGGGACCCGTTCTGGCAGGCCTAGGGTATATGCAGTGCCAGGAGTCAAACCAGGGCCACCTCATGCAAGGCAAGGGCCCCCTGTCTGTCTTTTCAGGCCCGCTTTATCTGTCTTTTTTTTATCTGTCTTTTATTCCAACCACTGTTGTTCCTCAAGTAGAATCTGTTAGAACTTTGATTTGCATTTTCCTGATAACTATCTCCTTGTCATTTGCATATCTTAGAGAATTATTCCACCTTAGGAGTAGCCTGTTTTTCAAGTGGGTCTGTTTGTTTCTACACTTTCAGTGAGTGGAGTCAGCCCTCTCTGCCCCAAGCAGTGTTCCAGCATCTCCACCACTTAACTGTGGCTATAGTATTTATTTACTATAGCCACACAGTGGTTACCAAGTTTTTTTTTTTCCTACCAACTTTCAGAGAGGAAAAGGCCATTGTCCAGAGGAGCTGCAGAAGTGGAATGTGGTTCTAGAGGTGAAGAACCTGGGGCAGGGGTGAGAGGGGAGATAGGGATTGCTCCTAGGGAAACAGACCTGCCCTATGGTGCTGTCCACTGTGCTGAGTGGGGCCCGTGGCTCTGGGCTTTAGGATCTTAAGTGCTACTGAAAAGTGTGCTTTCTCTGGCATGCTGCCACTGAAATGTGGCCCCTGGCAGAAACCACAACCTAGCATGCGTGTGAGATCCAGTCATTGGCACAATATTGACAGCATGGGAAGGGGGGGCTTTAATAAATAGATCATAGTTTCAGGGCCCGAGAGTACTTGATGATCCCCTGAGCATCACCAGGATATATGTACGTATATGGTGCTTTTGGAACCATACTCAGTCCCAAAGTGGTTGCTCCTGGCTCTGCATTCAAGGATCACTCCTGACAGTCCTGGGGATACTATATAGGGTGTCAGGGATTGAACCTGGGTTGTTTGCATGTAAGGCAAGTGCCCTAACCGCTGTACCATCACAAATTTGCTCCCTAGACTTCACTGATGAATTCCCACACCCAGAGTTCCTTTCTGGGCACCTCATTTGTTTTCTTTTTTTTTTTATTTTTTTGAAGTCAAATATTGTTTTACTGTGTGAGAATACTAATTCTAGGGCATATGAGGTGAGAGCCCGCACGGCAGAGCCACCTGGCAAGCTCCCCGTGGCGTATTCGATATGCCAAAAAACAGTAACAAGTCTCACAATGGAGATGTTAATAGTGCCCGCTCGAACAAATCGATGAACAATGGGAGGACAGTGCTACAGTGCTACATTAGGTGAGAGAGCGAAAAACTGGAGAGAGAAAAAGAGATAACGAACCAGATGCTATGACAATGATAGTTGGAAATGATCACTCTGGACAAGAACTGAGTGCCGAAAGGAGTTAAAGGGATACACATGATAACCTTTCGGTATCTGTATTGCCCAAAAGGAAAGAGGGAGAAGAAAGAACAGTGTCTGCTGTAGAGGCAGATTGGGGGAAGGGGATGATGGGAGGGAAACTGGGGACGTTGGTGGGAAATGTGCATTGGTGAACTGGGTGGGTTTGGGAACATTGCATGACTGAAACCCAATAGTGGACAATTTTGTGACTGTATCTAACTGTGACTCATTAAAAAAAAAATCCTAGAACCAGAGAGATAGTAGATAGTACCTAAGGTACTCAATCCCAGCACTCCATATCCCCGGGCCCTAGCACTCCTGAACATCACCAGGGGTGGCACCAAGTCGCCACCACCACCACC